CTCCAACTTACACCAAGAATAGGGCACTATTCCTCCCCCTAATGCCAAAGATGCATTGTTTACTCTCAATGATGCAGGACAACTTCTACTCCCAATGGCCACAGTCTGGCCCCCCTAAAGTCTGAAGGCCAGTAAACTGGCCCTTTGTTTAGAAAGTTTGGAGACCCGAGCTCTATATAAGAACCCCTCAGTGTTTTTTAAACTGTTTTCGGAGCAAAGTTGTGCTTCTGATGGGCTGCTACACTACTCTGTAGTAAGTGTAGCTTAGTTTGTCCAAGTGTGAAACTGTGAGCAAAAAAGCACACGGTATTTATCCAGGTCTCAAATTGTAGACTACCACAATCTGGGATGTAGCCTATCACAAGTTGTTAATGTATCACAGAAAGCATAGTTTCTACAGGATGAAAACGTAATAAGTTCTCCAACACCATGTTTAAAACCTGTGAATCAAAGTAATAATTGACAGCAAAGAAACTTATGGGGACTAGAGCATATGCAATCTGAGGGCAGAAGGAACAACATAAAGAAGGTTATGTGGTGAGAGACCCCAGAACTAATAGGAACATAAAAAAGAAAATATAGCAAGGAATGTATTTCTCTACACAACACAGCAAACACAACTCTAACATGCCCAACTGTAAGCAACTGGGGATTGCTTGCACTGTCTAAAGGACCTTATGCCCAAAGCTGGTATCAGAAGATCTAACCTGCAAGACTAAAGCTGGTTCACACTTATGTGATTTCAGATGCGACTTGGGTTCTTCTGAACTGCATGACAATGAAAATAACATTGCTTTCAATGGTGCCCGCTCACATCAATTTACAGTGTGATTTGGCCCCATGCAATATTCAAACATCCAACACACTACCAAAGTCGAATCAAAGTTGCATTACATAAGCGTGCTACAAATTGAGTCAAAATCGCATCGCAGTACTGTAAACCTAGTCTTCGAAAATGTGTGAACAGAAGACCTGGAGGCAGTCTTGCTAATATGGAAAACAGACGCCTGATCCTGAAAAGCCCAAGATACACACACAGATCTAGAAGAGTGTACCCTTGCCAGGACAGGGTGGAAGCCCATCCTTAACATCATAAGCTCGATGATATGTCTGAGCCACAGAGGAATGGGGTAATTATAAGCTGGTTACCCCTTTGAGTAAACCATCAGGAATCACAAAAAGTAAGTCAGAATTTCCAATGGAGGTCATGGCTGTGACATAGACATGCACAGCTTGAGCTACTTCAGACAACGAAGGTCAATCTTCAGGTGTAATCTGGCATTTTATGACAGTAATTCTAGAAGAGTGTTTTTTTTCCCATTGTGGCATTGCTAACTGCCAAATGCTAAATTCCCCAAGCAGAGTTATTGGAAGAGCTGCATTGTGTATTTTCAGGACAGAGACACGGCGAACATGCTGAACAGGAAAATAGACAAAGAATTAAATTGTTACTAAACCCACAACAGTAAAATCAGTCTGTATATGCAGTAAAGTATTGTGTAAAAAAAGCATCCTGTTTGATCCTGTCGTCTCTGATCTTCCCCTTCTTTTGCTGTCCCCAATCCATCTACCATAGTTAGGGCAGCAGTGGCAAGTCTGCAGATGCTCTGGTGTGTATTGCTAAAGTTTTTTTTTTTTTTGGGAGGGTGCATGCTATATACCGCTGATGAGAAAAGGTATTTAGCAGTTTATATTTACTAAAATAATTGCATTTCCATGTTCACACTGTGGAAGACCGGATATAGTGAATGCAGGGTCATGGGTTTAATAACACTATAAGGAAATAACTCACTGTTGAGACAAAGGGTTTACCAAGCAATCTGTTGATGTATGGTTTTATTACAATTTGACATCTCATGTAAAACTGTTCTTCAGGTATAAAATTTAGCTTTCTAGATAGCAGAATTTCTTTAAAGTATCCTTGTTGCACATGAAAACCCATAAAAGTAATCTATTTATGTTAAAGCATGCACTAAGTGGGTACTTTCACACATATCTAAAAGCTTAAACTGGTTCTAAAAGGTAAAAAAAAAAATTCTGTGCACTCTGTGTGTGTATAGAATTACACAGCTCATGAGTGAACCTGCAGGTGTGCCCCCCCCCCCCCCCCGAAAACGGCTTCCTATGGTGGCACTCTAAGATGAGGTGGAGCCTGGAGAGCTGACATCCCGGAAGAGGAGATTCGGAGCCACTCTGTGCGATACCACTACACAGAGTAGGAAAGTATAACATGTTTGTTTTTTTAGCTTTACAACTGCTTTAAATATGCTTCCACACTGGCCCTTGTGTTGTGTTTGATATATATATATACACACAGTTGCAAGAAAAAGTATGTGAACCCCTTGGGATTATGTGGAGTTTTGCATGAATTGGGCATAAAATGTGCTCTGAACGTCATCGAAGTCACAACAATAGAAGAACACAGTCTGCTGAACATAATACTACACAAATATTAGATGTTGCCATGGTTTAATTGCACATAACATGTAAACATTCACAGTGCATGGAGGAAAAAGTATGTGAGGCCCTAGCTTAATGACTTCTCCCAGAGCTAATTGGAGCCAGGAGTGAGCCAACCTTGACTCCAATCAGTGTGATGATATTGGATGTGTTGCTGACAGCTGTCCTGCCCTTAAAAAAAACACACCTGTTTTGGGTTTACTGGTTTCAAGAAGCACTGTCTGATGTGAACCATGCCTCGCAGAAAAGAGCTCTCAGAAGACCTACGATCAAGAATTGTTGACTTGCATGAAGCTGGAAAGGGTTACAAAAGTATCTCCAAAAGCCCTGATGTTCATGTGTCCACGGTAAGACAGACTGTCTACAAATGGAGAAAGTTTAGCACTGTTGCTACTCTCCCTAGGCATGGTCGTCCTGTATAAATGACTGCAAGAGCACAGCGCAGAATGCTGCATGAGGTAAAGAAGAATCCCAGAGTGTCAGCTAAAGACCTACAGAAATCTCTGGCACATGCTAACATTTTTGTTGACATATTTACAATAAGGAAAACATTAAACAAGAATGGAGTACATGGGAGGACACCACGGAGAAGCCATTGCTGTCCAAAAAGAATATTGCAGCACGTTTGAAGTTTGCAAAAGAGCACCTGGATGTTCCACAGCACTACTGGCAAAATATACTGTGGACAGATGAAACCAAGATTGAGTTGTTTGGGAAGAACACACAACACTATGTGTGGAGAAAAAAAGGCACAGCACACCAACATCAAAACCTCATCCCCACTGTAAAACATGGCGGAGGGAGCATCATGGTTTGGGGCTGCTTTGTTGCCTCAGGGCCTGAACGGATTGTTGTCATTGATGGGAAAATGAATTCCAGAGTTTATCAAGACATTTTGCAAGAAAATGTATGACCATCTGTCCACCAACTGAAGCTCCGCAGAGGATGGGTGATGCAACAGGACAATGACCCAAAGCATACAAGTAATTCAACAAAACAATGGCTGCAACAGCACAGAATATGCCTTCTGGAGTGGCCCAGTCAGAGTTCTGACCTCAACCCGATTGAAATGCTGTGGCATGACCTTAAGAGAGCGATTCACACCAGATGTCCCAAGAATATTGCTACACTGAAACAGTTTTGTGAAGAGGAGTGGTCCAAAATTACTCCAGATCGTTGTGCAGGTCTGATCTGCATCTACAGGAAATGTTTGGTTGAGGTTATTGCTGCCAAAGGAGGGTCAACCAGTTATTAAGTCCAAAGGTTCACATACTTTTTCCTCCCTGCACTGTGAATGTTTACATGTTATGTGCAATTAAACCATGGCAACATCTAATGTTTGTGTAGTATTATGTTCAGCAGACTGTGTTCTTCTATTGTTGTGACTTAGATGACGTTCAGAGCACATTTTATGCCCAATTCATGCAAAATTCCACGTAATCCCAAGGGGTTCACATACTTTTTCTTGCAACTGTATACATTTATATTGTGACAGTATGAAAGGCAAGATGATTGATGGATGTTATGTGTCACTTCGCATGCATTCATATCTGGGAGCTTAAGATGGAGTCCAGTCTGGGTTTTCCAGGCCACTATGGCAGAGGCAGTTTCGGACCGGATTTTGTGGTCCGCTGATGACCACCAGCAGGTGGTATAAAGCAGGTAGGACTGGAGCAAGAAGTTGATCTTGGCCTGGGACTCAAAGTCATATCTGAGTGAGCTGTGGATGAAAGTTTGTGTTATACAAGCAAGGAAAAGGTTTGCCTACCGGTTTCATTTTTGTTGGTCAGAGAGAAGCCCTTCACCTGAGAGAGAGGAATCTACTGTGTTTAGTTAGTGCCTGGATGGCAAGGATTTATTTTCGGTTTTGTTTGTTTTGATGCTTGCAACCTTGTAAATAAAATGGACGACAAGTCAGATTTTACGAAAGCCCTGCTGTTTGGACTATCTTTTTCCCCCACCTGAACTAACCCCCACAATATATGTACATACACACACTATATTGCCAAAAGTATTGGTATGCCTATGCTATTGAACTTTAATGGCATCCCAGTCTTGGTCCGTAGGTTTCAATATGGAGTTGGCCCACCCTTTGCAGCTATAACAGCTTCAACTCTTCTGGGAAGGTTGTCCACAAGGCTTAGGAGTGTGTCTGCGGGAATGTTTAACCATTCTTCCAGAAGCGCATCTGTGAGGTCAGGCACTGATGTCGGATGAGAAGGCCTGGCTCGCAGTCTTTTCTCTAATTCATCCCAAAGGTGTTCTATCAGGTTGAAGTCAGGACTCTGTGCAGGCCGGTCAAGATCCTCCACCCCAAACTTACTTATCCATGTTTTTATGGACCTTGAATTGTGCACTGATGCGCAGACATATTGGAATAGGAAAGGTCCATCCCCAAACTCTTCCTACAAAGTTGGGAGCACAAAATTGTCCAAAATGTCTTGGTATGCCAACATCTTAAAATTTCCCTTCTCTGGAACTAAGTGGCCAAGCCCAATCCTTGAAAGACAACCCTACACCATAATCCCCCCCTCCACCAAACTTTACACTTGGCACAATGCAGTCAGACAAGTACCGTTCTCCTGGCAACCGACAAACCCAGACATATCCATCGGATTGCCAAACAGAGAAGCGTGATTGGTCACTCCAGAGAACACGGCTCCTCTGCTCTTGAGTCCAGTGGCGGTGTGCTTTTCACCTCTGCATCCGATGCTTTGCATTGCATCTGGTGACGTAAGGCTGGGATGCAGCTGAAACCCATTCCATGAAGCTCTCTTCGCTCTGTTGTGCTAATCTGAAGGACACACGAAGTTTGGAGGTCTTTAGCTATTGACTCTGCAGACAGTTGGTGACTTCTGCGCACTGTGCGCTTCAGCATGCACTGACCCCACTCTGTCATTTTACGTGGCTTACCACTTTGTGGCTGAGTTACAGTCGTTCCCAGATGCATCCACATTGTTATAATCCCACTAACAGTTGACTGTGGAATATTTAGTAGCAAGGAAATTTCACAGATGGACTTTTTGCACAAGTGGCAACCTATCACGGTAACACGCTTGAATTCACTGAGCTCCTGAGAGCGACCCATTCTTTCACAAATGTTTGTAGAAGCAGTCTGCATGCCTAGGTGCTTAATTTTATATACCTGTGGCCATGGAGGTGATTGTAACACCCAAAACCAATGATTTGGACAGGTGCCCCAATACTTTTGGAGATATAGTATATATTACACACACAGTATATGTGTACTGATTTCCTCAGACTACACAGAAGAATCTATTTGGTGGTTTGTCTTAGAAACAAAAATCACGATACTCTTGAGTGTTTGAGTGGACACTTTCTCAAACAATGGTATTGAAAGAAAAACTTAAATACTGTTGTTGTATTTTGGGCTAAAGTCATTTGATAGTTATATACTTCTAATGTGTTTTCAGGTATTCTGATTATACAATGCGTTCAGATAAATAATGGTTGGCAACAGTGTGACCTTTTGACATAAATGACCTATGGCATGCCTTGTGCCATCTAGAGGTTGAATTGGTGCATGTACATCACTGTAAAAAGGCAGAAAAGGATACGCCCATGTGGGATTGGCTACCCCAAGCTTTTCAAATAAAACGTTGTCAGGTTAATCTGACAGGAAGATTCTATGATGACTTAACACACTTAAGGAAAAGCCCGGCCAGAAACTGAAGACGCTTTTAGTCAATCTCCTGCAACCATTTAGAGCAAGCCTGGGGTTCGTGTTGCCTACAGAGATTGTGAAGCCTCTATAATCAGAGCTAAGTAACTTTTACTATTGTATACAGAACATAATTTCCTTAGGAAGTAGGTAGCATTTTGCTTGTTATAGGTATATCTTTCAATCTTGTATTGTATTCCTATAATTGTAATTGTTTGTATGTACATAATTTTTGCTTAGTAAAAGCACATTAATATACCACAGAAGTCTAAGCTTCCTTGCTTATAACACAAAATAACCTTACCAAACACCAAAGCAAAGCAGCCCTGGACTCCCAGATTCTGCATATAACTTTAGGCCTGTCACATACCACAATGCAATGTGGGCACAGCTAAGAAACACCTTCACATACCTCCCAACTTTGTAAAATAATAAACGGGGTCATTTTTTAGTACCCAGTATGTAGGCAAAAGACATATCCCTTCCATGGCCCCTGGTTACACAGACCACACAGATGTAATATACAGAAAAATTATTGGCTAAGCCACACAAGTGAATTTTTACCTCTATTCTTCCTTTATATTGGCTTTTCTAAATAACAAATGCAGTAATATTGGACATTAGATAAAACATTTAGTGCAGCATAACACATTTGGTAATAAACCGGTACATTTTGTAGAGATGTACAAAAAGAGGGCCAACTGTGACTGAATGATGGACAGAGGGAAAAAAGCGGGACAATCCCTCCAAATGAGGGACATATGGGAGCTATGACAGTGGAGGCATACTGACATGGCCACAAATACTTTCATGTGCCTGAAGGATATTTGTCTAGATATAGAAGATAGGAATATTAGTGGTCTAAAACAAGCTCTCTCTGCATAAAACCTGCACATGCATAGACATCTTTACATAATAATAAAACAAAGGGAACTATGCTGCAAAGGGTCACCACAGAATACACAATTTACACTACAAACATGAACACTGTCTACTGCTGGTCTCCTAGGAAATATAATGTTCCATGTTCCCGTATTGCAGTCTTCTGGGATTCTTTCCATACTGCTCTAGAAACAAATTTACAATTTTCCGATCCCTGAAGTAAGTCTTTTGGGTGTCCTAAAGGACTTTTGTTCCTCTGACACATGAGCATTTCGTGTTTTGTTTCATATTCTATCGGGCTAGGAAGGCTGTGCTATATAATTGGAAAAACCCCAACTACAAGTCCTCCATCTGTCTCTACTACAAGTCCTCCATCTGATTAATGCAGAACTGCCTAAATACAAGATTATATTCGATGGCAGAGCATGTTCCAAAAAATAAAAAAAACATTGGAATCTCTAGCTGGATTCCCCCGAGGAGGTCATATTTGGAAGTGACTATTCTAGATGCTAATACCTAATTCTGTCTACAGTACTGCATACCTTTATTGTGATACCAGAGGAGGGAGGGAGCAAGTATGAGTGTATTGAATGTAATATAGATAACTTAGTCTTTCTTGTTTGTTTTGTAACCTTCTTTCTCCTGTACCCAGGTGTGCCTTTGTGACCCACATCATAAGTCACCAGATTGCAGATGTCACTTATTTTGTTCTTGACAGGTATATTTCTCTGAATGTTTGACAGGGCTCGTTGGCTTCCTGGGCCTTTTGTCTTTTCCATGCATCTCTTGAAAAAGATTAAATAAACCTTTAAAGTGGTTGCAAACCTTAGACATGAAATATGTACAAAACATATCCCTCTATAGTGTTTGTCTCAATCAAGAGCACTACCTGCCATTTCTGTCTGCAGCTTTGTTCCTCACTATCAGCATAGTCTGAGTCACTTCTGACACGTTTACTTGACACCAATATTAGAAGAGTGACAGGGGAAGGATCGCCAGCTGATTGACAGTTTCAGCTCTGTCCCTGTGTGCTGTGCTAAGGGAAGTGTTTCCCTTCCCTACAATCAGCTCTCAGAGCTCTTCTCACTAAGCGCTGCAAGGTGTAACGTCAGCTCTAAACCCCTCTTTTCTAACAGCTCAGACAAGCTTTATAAATTCTGGACTTTGAAAGGCTGCAGAAGAGAAGACTACAAACAGGTACAACTTATGTAGGAGGATTTATTTCATCCCTGTGTATCACTTCATTGGGTATATGAAAGGATTTACACTTACCACTTTAAGAAAAAAAAAAACAGTACTGCAAAACATTATTATGTGAACCGCTAAACTTTTCTTTAAATTATATTTCAAACAGAATGTTCTAAAGGGAACTGCTATAGTGGCTCATATAGTAAAGTCTGCAGTACTAATACCAGAGCAGAAGAAATGTTATTTGAAATGTATAGCTCTGTGTATGAATATCAACCTCATTTTCCCTGCTATGTTTCTTTAAGATTCACTAGTGCAATTCATTACCTGCAATGCCTGTGCAATTATCACTATTTTTGTTAATCATATCAAAGGGAATGGACACTGATATTTGGAAAAAAATCTACAGCAAGTCTGAGGGCCAATTTAATCTGCCGAAATGACACATTAGTTAATTAACAATGCTCTGCCTTTTGTGTGAGCCAAGAGTTAAAGAGTATAATTCATGCTAGATTACACTACAAGCAGAATAATCAAAATTTGATTGCATTAACGGCTCCAGCAGCAATAATTGCTTCAGTTATAGATATAATGAAGAGTGTTCAAGAACTGCGCTGCTTGTCATATGTGTAAACTTAGTAAAGAAAAATGTATGCTGACCTTCTGGCTACAATGCTCTCTGGGTCTTTACATTCACATCTGGAGTGTAAGCATTTTATTCTATTGGCTTCAACTGATAAATACGGTATACAAAATTGATATCTTTAGCGGTGTCAGAAGCTGCAGCAAGCTATTTGAAAGAATGATGCAGCACCTGAAACCGTTGCAAGAAAAGTGGATTTATTGTAGATATTTGAAATCAATGGAACACAGTGCCTCAAAAAAGTATTCATACCCTTTGACATTTTCCACATTTTGTCATGTTACAATCAAAAACGTAAATGTATTTTATTGGGATTTTATTTTATGTGATAGACCAACACAAAGTGTCACATAATTGTGAAGTGGAAGGAAAAGGATAAATGTTTTTCAAACTTTTTTACAAATAAATATCTGAAAAGTGTGGCGTGCATTTGTATTCAGCCCCCCTGAGGCAATACTTTGTAGAACCACCTTTCGCTGCAATTACAGCTTCAAGTCTTTTTGGGGGATGTCTCTACCAGCTTTGCATATCTAGAGAGTGAATTTTTTGCCCATTCTTCTTTGCAAAATAGCTTAAGCTCTGTCAGATTGGATGGAGAGCGTCTGTGAACAGCAAATTTCAAGTCTTGCCAGATTCTCAATTGGATTTAGGTCTGGACTTTGACTGGGCCATTCTAACACATGAATATGAATATGCTTTGTTCTAAGCCAATCCATTGTAGCTCTGGCGGTATGTTTAGGGTCGTTGTCTTGCTGGAAGGTGAACCTTCACCCCAGGCGCAAGTCTTTTGCAGACTCTAACAGGTTTTCTTCTAAGACTGCCCTGTATTTGGCTCCATCCATCTTCCCATCAACTCTGACCAGCTTCTCTGTCCCTGATGAAGAAAAGCATCTACATAACATAATGCTGCCACCACCATGTTTCATGATGGTTTGTTCAGGGTGATGTGCAATGTTGGTTTTCCACCACACATAGCGTTTTGCTTTTAGGCCAAAAAGTTCAATTTTGATCTCATCTGACTAGAGCACCTTCTTCCACATGTTTGCTTTGTCCCCCACATGGCTTTTTGCAAACTGCAAATGGGACTTCTTATGGCTTCTTTCAACAATGGCTTTCTTCTTGCCACTGTTCCATAAAGGTCAAATTTGTGGAGTGCACAACTATTAGTTGTCCTGTGGACAGATTTTCCCACTTGAACAGTGGATCTCTGCAGCTCCTCCAGAGTTACCATGGGCCTCTTGGCTGCTTCTCTGATTAATGCTATCCTTACCCGGTCTGTCAGCTTAGGTGTACAGCCATGTCTTGGTAGGTTTGCAGCTGTGCCATACTCTTTCTATTTTCCAATGATGGCTTGAAGAGTGCTCTGTGAGATGTTCAAAGCTTGGGTTATTTTTTTATAACCTAACCCCGCTTTAAACTTCTCCACAACCTTATCCCTGACTTGTCTGGTGTGTTCCTTGGCCTTCATGATGCTGTTTGTTCACTAATGTTCTCTAACAAACCTCTGAGGGCTTCACAGAACAACTGTATTTAAACTAAGATTAAATTACACACAGGTGGACTCTACTTACTGATTAGGTGACTTCTGAAGGCAATTGCTTCCACATATTTTAGTTAGTGATATCAGAGTAAAGGGGGCTGAATACAAATGCACTCCACACTTTTCAGGTATTTATTAGTAAGACATTTTGAAAACCCTTTATCATTTTCCTTCCAAGGTTTAGGCGTGTGTCTATGAGAATGTATGACCATTTTTCCAGAAGCACATTTGTGAGGTCAGGCACTGATGTCGGATGAGAAGGCCTGGCTCATAGTCTCTGCTCGAATTCATCCCTGAAGTGTTCTATTGGGTTGAGGTCAGGACTCTGTGCAGGCCAGTCAAGTCCCTCCATCCCCAAACTGTTCTCATAGAGTTGGGAACACGAAATTATCCAAAATGTCTTGGTATGCTGACGCCTTAATAGTTCCCTGCACTGGAACTAAGGCGCCAAGCCCAACCCCTGAAAGACAACCCCATACCATAATCCCCCCTCCACCAAACTTTACACTATGCAGCTAGACAAGTTGTCAGGGATGCGGGGTGTGACCAGAAGTGTGTGGACTGACAAAGGGAAACGTAGGCTTCAGATATAGTAAATAATATAATTTATTGAGACTAACAATACAAATATAAACGCAGTGCACCAAACCCCAAGCTAACACAAATACATACAACAAGGTGAAACAAACCCAAACCTAAACTGATATAGATACACAGATACATACACATATAGAGCACAACGTAGTCAGGCAGGCCGGGTCGATAACTATCGGGCAGGTAGGTACAGGAGGAGCAGGCGGAGAGAATGGTCAGGGTCACAAGCCAGGGATCAAAAAGGAGAAGTCAGCAGAGGTCAGGATCAGGCAGGGTTGGCAACAAGTCAGACAGAAACAGGAACAGGAATGCAGGTTACAAGATACAGGGGCCCATGGAAAAACACACACCAAGGCACAGACTGCAGGTCTGGCCATCCCTTAAATACACCACCTGCAATCAGCCCCAGGTGATGGCTAATTGCCGAAGTGAACCTCTGGTTGTTGAGAGCACCCGCTGGCCAGCCCTGGTACTGCAGCCTACAAGGCAGGTGAGTCCCACCACTATTGGCAAGTCCATTCCTGACACAAGTACTGTTCTCCTGACAATCGCCAAACCCAGACACGTCCACTGGATTGCCAGACAGAGAAGCATGATTTATCACTCCAGAGAATGTCTCCACTGCTCTAGTGTCTAGTTGTGGCGTACTTTACAGGTGATGTCAGGCTTGGATGTAGCTGCTCGGCCATGGAAACCCTTTCCATGGAGCTCTATAAGCACTATTGTGCTAATCTGAAGGCCACATGAAGTTTGGAGGTCTTTAGCTATTGACTCTGCAGACAGTTGGCGACTTATGTGCACTATGCACTTCAGCATGCTTTGTTATACCACACACAGTTGACCATGGAAAATTTAGTAGCAAGGAAATTTCACGAATGGACTTATTGCACAGGTGGCAACCTATCACGGTAGCACACTTGAATTCACTGAGAGTCACCAATTCTTTCAGAAATGTTTGTAGAAGCAGCCTGCATGCCTAAGTGCTTGATTTTATACACCTGTGGCCATGCAGGTGATTGGAACACCTGCATCCAATGATTTGGAGGGGTGTCCCAATAATTTTGGCAAAATAGTGTATATATAGTCGTTATTGCTATTTAATGGTTTGACAACCATGGAAATCAGGTTTGCCTATATAAGCTAAAGTTATTGTTTTTTCTATGTTGAACTGCAAGGATTACTGGCTTTAGAGATTCAATTTTGATGTAAAAGTATTGTTTAGGTTAAGGGACCCCAAAACCTTTATAGTTTTTCACATGCAAAAGAAAGACGTGGGTGTCATCATGGTTCTTTACAGAACAAGTAGTTGGTCTTGTTATATTCTACGGTAGAATTAAAGTGTTCATGTTGATATGTTTTGGGGAATAGGATTATTGCAGTTACCAGAGTAGAGTAAAAACTATTTGGCAGTCTTTATTTCTGTAGAAGTCCATCTCTGTTTACACAGGCTGCAGACAGCCATGCAGGACATGACTTAGAACCCTGGTGCTCAACGGGTGGCCCATGGTCTGTGTGTGGCCCTCTGTGTCCTGGGCTGGGTCTGCTTCTTGATGGCACTTTGCAGAATGGCAGCAGTTTTTACAACGATGCTCTCTGTATTTATGCACTGGAATCAAGCCTGTACTGTCAGGCACGGTGATCCCAGGTATAGTCCTGACCAAATGGGAAGAAAAGAGAGCAACACAGGAGCATGTGATCAGGTAAGTAATTGATGACACCCTGATGCTGGGAGTTACTCTTACTGCCACTGACATCAGGGATAGGACTTATTTTACTCAAAGTTTATTTTCAGTGTGCCCTCGCAGTACACTGCAATGAATGCAGCAGGACTGAAATCCTATGGAATTGAGGTGTGTTAGAGCCCATTATTTTTGAATTAGCTGCATAACACAATGTGCCTTAATGCCTCAAAATGTGCTGCAATTGCATGGCCCTTTGAAAGTGTTTGAGGTACCACTTAAGAAACTTTATCATTTTCAGGTTGACCACCACTAACACTCAAAGTTCAGTTTAGGAACACTGTTATGAAGAATTCATCATGCTGCCTTCACCATTTGAGTTAAACTATGTAAATTCAGCTGCTTTGCCCAGCGAAGTACACAACACTTGTTTGTCAGGATTTAAAATGTGACTTCAACCATTTGTCAGACCTGAAACATCTGACAGCTCAAAAAACTTTTATATGTGGATTCAAGTGGTTTCCTCCATCACAGTAAACAGCCCTAGTAAACTAAGGTAATTTTATAAGAGCATTATGCACTGCTGTTGGTAAATAGCATTATCAACTTTTCTCCTGTCAAGGGTGTCTAGGTAGTAGAGGAGATTGCATAGTCGACAGAACACATCTGCAATGGCTTTGCAAAACAAATATGAGATGGTGTGGGGTGCTGGATCACTGTTTCTAATAGTTAAAGTTCAGTGATTGGTGAACTGGTTTCCTTCATATGCAGCTCCCAGCTGTAGATGACAGGTGTCTTGTGTGGTGTACCAAACTGTTCAAAGGTCCAGAAGTTAATTTTATTTATGTTGTTTCAGCCAGCTTTTATTGAATTCACTTCTGGACTCCAAAAAACCCATCTGGTAATTTCATCATCATACACCAGTACAAAATTCATATTGGTCTACTTTGGTGTCTTTAAGTGACCTCCAAATAAACAGACATGTTTATCTAACTATAAAACAGCCACTTGCCTCTGGGCTCAAACACCACAGTAGAGTTGGAATTGATGACAGTTATATGTAAAATGTATGGGCTTAGACACTATAACTACTGCTAAACCATACTCCACACTCTTTAGTAGCAATCGTCCAGGCACATTTCATATACGAAGCTGTATACTTGGTGCTACAAGAAACTTCTGAGGTTGGTTACAGAATCTGAGTAGAGTGGCTACCAATGGGCAAGCACAAGAAACAGGGTGGACAGGGAGGAAGTATGTAAAAACTAAGCTTTGATAACTCACAAATTGCACCATATAGTGGAAACATCAAATATTACATCACTGCAGTGTCTTATTCCTGTTTAGCAGGCCGATCCTCAATGGCAGACTCTAGCTGGCATATATTCATGATGGAAAAGGAACAGAGCAAAGAGCAGAGTCCTAGCTGACCACTTGACACACAACCATGTGTCAGATGTGACCAGGTCAGATATTAAGGTAAAATCTTCTAATGGATATAAATGGCAATAATACCCAACACTGATTCCTATCCTTCCTCTCTTTCTATCAAAAATCTTTTAAAAAGTGCTTCACTTTGACTAACACTGGTCATTGTACATTCACATTAAAATGCTGAGCAAGAATCAGTGTGATATCGTTTTGTTAAAGCCTTGCTCTGCCTGCTTGTCAGTTTTTTTTACATATCTTTTGTGAGACAAATCACACTTTTTCCTTCTCATGAGAATATAAGGAGAACAGGAGAAAGAATGTATGCTGTACTTGTAAAATCAAATCAATGTTCATATCAATGTTCATATTTAACAAGAGGTATAACATTGTGGGGTATTGTTGTGAAACAGGAAGAGGAAGGGCAAAAACAGGAAATGCTACAATGGTAAGAAGGTAAAGGAGAAGTGGTTTTAGAGAGAACAAAAAAATGGAATTATGTTTTCATGATGCAAGAGCTGAGGAAAGGAAAGTCCGCATCTACGCAGATTAAAATGGTACATTTCTGAAACAAAATCCTGCTTGCTTCATTATTTGTGTAATTTCCAGAAACTGCATCTTTCTTAAGGTTGAATGTTTACATGCAAAACATGCTGCACAAGAATAAGAAGTGCAAACATGTAGAAATGTAAATAGACCAACTTAGTGAGTATCAGTATGGTAAACAAAGCTATTTTAAGCAGCTAGGTGAATTATGAACTGACCATTTTAAACAAAGCTATTTTAACCCACACCCGGCCTATGGCCGAATGGCGGCTGGCAAAAACCCTCACCACTCCGGGTGGACGCCATATGGTGTCCTTTCAGGCATGTGCAGTTTGCATGCCCGCAGAGCCGCGATATGTCACCCGCCTTGTACCTCGGATACGGCCGATGACAGATCTGAGTACCGGCCCCGTTGCCGGTACCATGTGACCTGCTGTGACCAATCACAGCAGGTCACATGACAGTTGTATACAATGGATGGCTTCCTATCATGCCATCCATTGTATACAAGTGTGGCTAGCTGTGAATGGTCACAGCGATCACATGCACAAGCTGGGCCAATCACAGCCCAGCTGTGTCATGTGATTAGCTGTGGCCAAATCACAGTTAAGAAAAAAAAAAAAATCCTGAATGAATCTATTTCATTCAGGTAAATGCTTGCTTATAGCAAAGTAATTCTTTGCTATAAGCAAATTGTGTAAAAAAAAATAAAAATAAAAAATAGATCACTTCCCCAAAGTAGTACAATGTTACTATGGTAACATTGTACTACTTTGGTCATAATGAAATATGAAAAAAAAATCTTAAAAAAAGAGAAAAAATGTAATCAAAAATAATAAAACAAATAAAAATTAAATTAAAAAAAACATTATCATTTTTTTTTTTTTTTTGTACGGTCACCAGTCAGTGTCCCTGATCACTGCCACGCCAGTTCTATGATGACACTGTACTGCACTGGTGACAGTATGTAAAAAAAAAAAATAGTGAAAATCATTTTTATTTCTTCATGTCCGAAAAATTAGAAAAAAATTACAACTTCAAAAAACTCACCATGCCTGTTATGAAATACTTCGGACTGTCTACTTTGCAAAAAGGGTCATTTGGGGGATATCTGTACTGTCCTGACATCATTCTTGGACCTCAAGAAATTAGATTGGCTGTCAGTACTTCAGGATTGACCAATTTTCAGATGTAGCTGCCATATCAATCAGTAGTAGGGACATGTTTGTGGAACTACAAGTGACAGAACAACCCTGCATGCATGTGGAACTATAACAGAATAGTCTTGTATGTTTTTAAAACTAAAAGTAGTATATCTGCTGCAGAGCTGATCTGTGACATGGACATAACAAATCATTAAGCCCTATAGCAAAATTTTGATGCGGCTTAAGGAGACCTCTCTCCATGGCACCTGGCAGTGTCAAGTGCAACCGCCCGTCCATCATTTTCAATACAGTGGGCGGTAGGTGGTTATACACACACACACATATACATACGCATATACTGTATACAGTTAGACCTCATGCACCTAGATGTTTACATGTTCCAGAGTCTTGAAGCATAAAACAAAATATGAAGTAAAAGGCTCCATTATAAAGTAGAGCATTATTATCATTCTAAAACCATATCGTAGAATCTAAAAATAATATACTTATGCTTTTGTGCAAAAATTGGATTTTTTTCTACTTACCTGTAAAATCCATTTCTTGGAGTACATCACAGGACAGGCTATTCATGACTATGTGGGTTATAGGCCACTTATAGGTGAGTGTAAGGGAATTCCCGTGAGATGGCTGGTGAATAGACGTGCGCATGTGCACAGAAATGCACGATCACGCACACTCGCGGTGAAGATTGGCGCCAGACGGACTATTTAAAAGGTGCCTCTGCCTGTGCTGAGTGCTGACTGGTCTTCAGCTGTTCCCCGTTTCCTGCTCATTCCTGTGTGATTTCCTTGTTGCTGACCCAGCTTGTTCCTGACCTGACTCTGATTACTCTCCTGCTTGATACGTGTTCCTGACTTCGGCTCTGCTCCTGACTTTGGCTTGCTTATGATTTGGTACCTTGCTGTCCGCCCGTTGATGACCCTGGCTATTCCTTTGACACTGCTCCTGTCTCCCATCCCTGCTTCCTGCCTTGCTCTGGTGCACACCTGGCGATCTACCATACCAGCTCTGCATATTACTACTGTGCCTGAATCAGAGGTTCATCAGTCTTCCAAAGTCTCCAACTGCAAGAGCTGCAAACAACATCTGCTGGCGCTTTTGTCCCCCTGGTCCCTAGATAGCCTCTGTTCCACTTCCAGTGGGGTCAGGGCTAGTGACACAAGTGAGGCCGACCTCGTCATTTCAGTCTCCAATCAGGTACGTGACAGTGAGTGAACACTGGCCGACCAATCTGAGAGGAGGTCCTCCCCTATACAACCCCTC